ATGGAAAAATTGTCTTCCATGAAACTTAAGAACCAGAGTGGGGGGGAGCAAGCGATGCTTCATCTGTATTTACAGCCACTCCGCATCGCTCACATCACCACCTGAGCTCCGCCTCCCCCACCCCACCTACCCCTGGTCCATGGAAAAATTGTCTTCCATGAAATAGGTCCCTGGTGGGGACCACTATGAGGATTGAAATGAAGCAGGTTTTCATTTTCTCATATGATAATTTTAACTACATGAAATAGAACAATGTTAAAAAAGAGTAAATCTTTTTTTTTAACAGTTCATTCTCAGTCAAGAAGATATAACAACTATCTTTAAAACATTATATGGCAATATATGGTATGAAGAAGGTGGTAGTGCCTCACCTGCTGTCATAAAAGACCAAAGTACTGTTACTAGTGGAGTTACTAATGCTTCACACCATTCAGGAGGTATGTTCTTAACCTTAAATTAGTTCCTGCCTTCCTTTCTTTCTCTCTTTTCTGTTTTCTCCCTTCCCTCCCCTCCCCTCCTCTTTTCCTTTTCTCTTTCTTATCAGTCCCCCCTTCCCCCTCCTTTCCTTCTTTTCTCTTTTTCTCTAGTTTTGGGTAAAATAGGATTTATAAATCTTTCCAATCAGCTAATCCTATTCAGGCATCTCTAAATTGTTTATGTTATTAGTCATTCTGTTGATTTTTTTTTAAATTAAAGTTTCTAGTTCTGTTGTAACAAAATTCCTTAATATTTTTTCTTATTTTCCCAACCTCTCTATAGGTCCTTATTTTCAATTTTTTTCCCTTCTCCCTCTTTTCCCTTATCCTTAGTGTAGCATTTATCCCAGATGGAATATTTTATATTGATATAAGGAATATCAAAATGTTAGAGATTCAAAGAGAAGGTGATCATAAATAGATGATAGATTTTAACAAATATTTGAAAGATATATGGTTGGAACAGAGTAGAAGGAACCATAACTCAGAAAGAGGCCTCATCCAATGTTGGCCCAGTGTACTTTGTGGAATATGGCTGGGTTCTGAGTTTAGAACCAGCACATACAAAGACATGGGTCAGTTAGGGCTGCTAGGATGATTTCACAAGAATAAAGTTGTTCCCATTAGGGCATTGTAGGGGGTCCCCAAACCTACCTACCTCAACGTGAAACCTACTAGTCCACAAGATCCACCTTTGTAAAGCTCTGAGATACTACACAGCTTTTTTACTCAGGAAATCCTAACACAAAAACAATCCTACATTTGCTGCATTACAGGAAAACCTATCCTTGCTAGTTAGAATAATCAAACCAGTTCTTTACTGTAAAATAAATCATAAGAACCCAAGCATGAAAGAAACTAAGAAAAGCAGAATAGTGTTTTCTGAATTAAACAGAGATAATTGAGGGAACAGAAAAGAAAGAAAACAAAAAAACAAACTCTGATATTCTAAGAGGATTTTGAGAAGATAATCTGAAAACTGGATCCTGCTAGCACCATCAGCCCATTAAAGATAGGAAAGTGTTCTTGAAAAGCAAAAATACTGCTGAAATTTTGAAAAAAAAAAATAGAAAGGGGGTAGAACTATTGAGTTGGAGTATTTGGTTGAAGTAATCTATGATTTAGAGGGGGAAAATCTTTTTTTTTTTTTTTTTTT